CGTCACTGGAATGCACCTCAGTGGAAGGCTTTGGATTTTCACGAATTATATGCAACAAGGAGTTATGACGCGATTTACAAAATTTGCAGCTACCAGAGAAACAATCTTTCAGCATATGTCCAACTCTCAAACAATTTAAGCAAAGCCGTTTTTTCTTTGCTTCATTAATACGCTCTCTAACACTGAGATTTTTAAAATCAATACAATCCTGAACAAAATGCTCCTTCTTACAAAAGCCACAAGAAACCGAGTTAGAGGTAACAAAAGAACGAGTTTTATTATCATGTCTTGAATTAAATTCGGTTTTTGACTTAAATTCGGTTTTTGACTTAAATTGCTTTTTTTCAGATTTTGTTTGCTCTACGGCTTCCAAAAAATTAGCGCGCTCACGTAAAAATTTTAACAAATCTGACAACAGCGGCTTTTGAATTTCAGATTTGAAGTTCTCCCATTTTCGCAAAGAAACTGCATCCAATTTCGTAGAAATGAGATAAATCAAAAGCGTGTCCCAGTTATCTGTAGGCTCGTTCAACGCGTTCAAAGATCTAATATGTTTTCCGATATTATCTGCTAATTTTCTAAGCGCACCCGACGAATTTTCCTGTATTTTATCCAGATTGAAAAGTTCTCGCAAGTGATTCTGAACTAAAACTTTACTATTGTTATAGCGGCCACAAATTAATTGCCAAGCGGATTCGTAATTCGCGTTGGAAAAACCCAAATTCGCAATAACTTCCAGCACTTGGGGCCCTAAAAATGACCTTAGGTAATGAAATTTCTGAATTTCTGACAAACTTTCCTTATTGTGAATTAGTGATTCGTAAGTGTCTCGAAATTCCAACCACGAATTATAGTCACCATAGAATGTTTCAATTTCGATTGTTGGCAATTTAACTCCCTTAAACACGAGACCCTGTGCGGCTAAACTCGCGTTACTCCTGCCTGATCCAGCGTTGCTGGCAGAATCTACATTATCCTGATCAACAGAAGAATCCGATAAAAATATTCTAGCCCTAGCAACCACCAGATGATAATTATTTTCGAACGTAACGCGCTCTTGATATTGCTTTTCGAGGTCGGTTAATGGACAAATAGCTTCAATACTATCTTGAACCTGCTCAAACTCGCTCGCCAAACCAGAAAATGTTTCAAAACGAGATTCTAAATCTAAAAAAATGACGCGATCGGTTACAACATTTTCAGGGTACTTATTTTCTAAAAACAAAACAAACTTTTCAAAATTAGTTATTTTGGCCTTAACGGCGCCACGTTTACGAACAAGGGGATCCATGTTTTCTGTACTCATACTAATTATAATGCTTAATTATCGTACCGAAGTCAAACACAACGAAACGCGTTTGACAAATGCAACAAACGAAAAATGTACGGTTAAAGCAAGATCGAAACCGAAACTGTTTCAATCACGAAAAAGGACAAAAAACATGGAAATAAAATGGAAAGGACCCACCTTATTATTGCTGTTGTTCTTCAATGATGATTCCACAGGTTACAAACACCAAACCATAAAGCAGCTCCACATTCGGCTCGAAGGCCATGTATAAAAACGATGACGAAGTGGACTGTATCAAAGTTTTATTCTTCTCTAACGTTCACGTTAACAAATCAAGTATTAAGAATAATAATTCTTACTATAACCACAAAAACAAGATTCATTTCTAATTGAAAATTAAGCAAATTGAGCAAGAATATGAAAGAGCATCAGCTCATGCAAAACTAAAAAATATTTACGACTAATTTTAACAAAGGGTGCGGCTCGAGTAGCCGAAGTCGGTGAAAATCAATAAAGTACTGCCTTTTAGAGAATTGTCCCCTCTCCGTCTAGTCTTCTCACTTCGGGTAGTTTACGCATCGCCGTAAAAATGTGTATTTGTAGATATTATATTAGGTTTTGGCCTTTTTTAATGTAGCAAGGCAATGTTGAATTTATTGAAACAGAAAATATTGTTTGTGATTTTTAACAGTTGCAAAAAAGTCAATTTTCAACTGTCAATATTTCCGAAACAGTTGAAGATAGGTATATGACATCGTAAATGAAATATTTCTTGAATTTTCCGCAGAATCCAGAAATGTCATAATATACCGAGGGTGCTTCGAAAAAAATGAAGTTGATACCAGCGAAGCTATTTTTGAAACACGTGTCTGAGCGATTTTTCAAAAAGTCCGTTTTCAAAATAATGAATTTTAGTATGCGGGTCTTTATGAACTCACTGTACTGAATTAAACAGTATAGCAGTGTACCCAACCTCTCAAATTAATAATTCCCTTCATGGATCCCAAAAATTCCCTATTTTATATATTTTAGAGTTAAAATTCCCTGCTTTCAATGGTCGCGTTCACCAACACTCAACATGTTGAATGATTAATCCTTATTCCACGAAACGAGATAGTAGATAGTAGAGGTAAACAAACAGGCGGAGCTTAAAAATTCAGAGAAGGACTGCAAAAATATGAATTACAACCAATGACATTTATTATTGTCAGGTTTTCATATGAGTCAAAAGATTTTGGTGCCGTATTTCCTAGTATTTTACAATTATTTAAATAGTGTTTGGTGAATTATTGTTAATTAGTGAGCAATTTATATTAAAACAATGTCAAGTTCAACAGATTCCACTGAATACCAAAAATAAAGATATTCAGAAAATACAAATACAAAACAACCTAAGACGGTCCTGTCAAGTGCGGAGTATAATCCTTTCCTAGCCAATAAAATTCGACTTACCTGTCAAAGTTTGTTTACTTTCACTAACTCGTCTCGTGAAATGAACTTATAAGCGGCTTTGTTCCTAGCATGTGGAATACACAAGGTAGGACAGTTTTGATTGGCCTAGAGTTGATTTTCATCTGTTTTTAACAAAGCCGCTGACTAATCACTCAACATGTTTAGTGCTGGTGAACGCGAGCAATGTTGCCAATAGGCCTTTTTGGAAACATTGATCCGATTAACCGGATCACCAACTGATGTACTTTGTCTTTTTTCAATCGTGTTTATTAAAGAAAGATAAAAAACAAACAGTTGGTGATCGGGTTAGTCGGATCAGTGTTTCCGAAAAAGCCTTACGAGTACATCTAAGTAAATGCCAAATGACTTCACCTATATCAAAACCAAAAATATCTCCTTTCAATTGTGTATGTAATAAAACAAAAAATTGAGTCGTTTGGATGATTAAACGGATAACAAACAAATTGCAAAAATTAAGCATGAGCACTAAAATAAATACAACCGGGAACCCCTGAAACCCAACCTTGCTGCGTTCGGCTATGTCACTCCGCGCGCTCCGAGTAACTCCGTACCGACTCCAGGCGTTCGAGTATTAATTGAACTTTTGTTTGGACGCCATATTGCGGTGCGCGAACATAGTTGCCAAAAGTAGAAAAAAAATCACTAGCGTACTGTCAACATTAAAAACAAAAAATACTGAATAAATTACATTTAAAATTTAAATTTGCCGCCTATTACGAATGTTTTTGAAAAGAACAGCCATTAATTTTAACTTGCATTGGGCAGAATAGAAATAATAAAATATCTACCTATTCACTTTACCAAATTTCAGTTTCCTTTCTCAAGCCTAGTACTCATAACCGCGAAATTCGCTCTTTTTTGACATTGCTTCGACAATTTGACGTTTAATTCATGCCACAGATTTATGCATAAAACGTCAAATTGTCGAAGCAATGTCAAAAAAGAGCGAATTTCGCGGTTATGAGTCCTAGGCTTTATTGTTTATAGAATCAGAGAAAGAAAGTAAACAAACAAAAAGGATAGCGAGGATCAATCATTTAGTTACTTTTGTTTTTAATGTTGACAACTCGCTAGTAATTTTTGTTTTCTTCTTTTGGCAACTATGTTCGCGCGCATATGCATATGGCGTCCAAACAAAAGGTCAATTGCTTTTCGGCGTAGGTAGAGTGACATCGCTTACTCCACTCCAAATTCGTGCTGAACACAACTTCTATCTTCATCGATGTCAAACTTCTATTTCTCAAAAATTCCCTCATTTCAACGATTTTATTTAAAAAATCCCTTTTCCCTTTTGGGTGCCAAAATTCCCTAAAAAGGGAAAATTCCCTGCAGTTGGGAACATTGCAGTATAGGCCCTGAAAATGATTCTTGTGATACTCCACATGTTACATATTTTTCAAGACTTTTGTAGTTATTCATTTGTAGGGCGTTTTTCTATGTATTGACACCCCACTTTACAGGTAGAAGAGAGATGTAAAGTGTGGTTTTTTTTAAAGATAAAAGTCAAAATGACATTATGTTGGCAATACAATGTAAAATTGTCAATGCTTTCAAATTTTTTATGTAGAAAAGGCTTGTGTTGCCAACATAGTTGAGATGGTTCACCCCTATTATATTTTGTAAAGCAGGGTGGAACGAAAGATCCGTCAATCACACGATAGATGGTTGACGGAAGTGACAGTCAGTGACGGAAAAGGTCAGAGAGAAAAAGAGTCACGGTCTTTCTTAAAGCTCTAGCTCTGATTGTTCATCTGTATTTGGTATTAATATAACGTTTTATTGTTCCGTTCTCGTGTTGAATTTATCCACGACCCATATTCGGTGTTGAGCTGTTTCATAGTTACTAGATTTTTGACTTGGGGAATTATCTTTAAAAAAAAAAACAGATTTTAAATAAAAAACTTGTACAGTTTTGGCTAAACTTTTTTAGTATCCATGGTCCGAAACAAAAATTGAATGTCAGAAATGTGAAATGTTGCATGATTTCAGTTTTCTCAAATCGGATACCCTATATTTGGTTCTATTTTCTTGAAGAGCACAGCACAATTTCCCGATCCCAAAAATATATAGTTTGTCTCCATTTGGTTGAGCTTACTCCAACATATTTGGTTCTGAATAAAGAGTGAAGGCTTTTTTTACTAGATATTTGGTTCTGTATTCACAAAAATAAATGATATTGTAGTTTTGACATAGTAAATTAATATTCATCAAACTAAGTTCAATATTTATTTTATAGGGCCCCAGTAAAGAAGAAGTATTCAAAAAATACAACACATTACTCGACGAATATTGGAAAGGAGAAGTAGATCTAAAACAAGCAATCAATTCCTACAAAGAACACAAAGTACCAGAAAAATTTGTCAAAGAAGTAATCCTATCAGGCCTCTCATTGGCCTTGGACAAATCGGACGTCGAGCAAGAAAAACTAATCAAACTCGTCGGAAATCTGAAAGAAGACGGCGCAGTCTCGGGCGGCGCAGTCCAAGAAGCCTTCAAATCTTTGTGTCACGTTTTGGAGCAACGCGAAGCCGAAGCGGAAAAAGTCATCACGGCTGCTTCCGGTTTATTGGCGGCCGCGGTTTGCGAACATTTAGCTCCGCTGTCGGATATCGCGATGCTGACCGACAACGGAGCCCACTATCCGTTGTTCTTATTGGTCTTGCAAAGGGTCAAAACGAAGACTGGCAAGTCGGAATTGAGCGAGATGTTTAACAAAAGCAAAATCAATTTGATGGCTCAGCTTCCTGAAAGTGACAAGACGAAAGAAAGGCTTTCTGAGATTTTGGAGGAAAGGGAACTGACATTTTTGTATCCTTTGTTGCGTATCCAGGCTGACATGGCCAGGCAATTGGCGGTGGATCCTAATCCTCAAACTTTTTACAAGTGGATCAAGGAGAATTTGGAATCGGCCAACTTTAACGATCCCGGATTTATTAACGCCCTGGTCACTGTTTTGATTAAGTATATTACGCAAGAAGCCCAATTATCTGCCGGAGACGAAAAAGCAATGGTAAGATGACATTTATTAAATTGAATCCATTGTTTTCTAATGTGATTTTTTTTTTTAGATTGAAAAAGAACACGCCCTATTGAAACGTTACCAGCCGATCCTGCACGCATTCCTGAGAGACAAATCGTCCCTTCAACTGGTCGCAGTGTACTCGTTGCAAATGCACTTTTCCGGACAGAGTTTTCCGCGCGGTCAGCTCCTGAGGTGGTTCATGGCCATGTACGAGCTGGAGATTGTCGACGAGGAGGCTTTTCTGAACTGGAAAGAGGACATTTCCGACGCCTATCCGGGCAAAGGACAAGCACTATTTCAGGTAACCGGTTTTTCGATTTTTATTTTAGGTTTTTTGTGGGTAATACCACGAGTGCTTCTAATTTTTCTGGAAGAATTTGGAAAAACGATGTGACAAGTACCTATAAAAAGTACTCTGATGATAGCACACTCGTTCTTTTTGTCAAACAAATTACTTTGTAATAAGTTTTTCTGCCTACTCTGTGGAAATCTCTTTCTGGTATACTAATTTGAACACCATAATGAAAAAGATTGATGAGGGAAACGCAAATCTTCTAATGTTCTTACCAACTATTATTTTGGTAACATAAACATGGCTCCATGAGATGATTCCAGATAGCTTGGTGCAAATTTCTAGATACACAATATACAGAAAAGATAGGTCAAATAAGAAATGAGGTGGCATTTGTATATTTTTCCGCAGCTCCATTCTGGGCCACCATGTTCAATCTGCAATGAGCTCCATATATTCCACAGCTGTAGAATCATTCTTTTGATAGATGGTCAGCCAATGATTGTTTCATGCATATATCGGTCTAAACTGCAAACCCATGTAGAAGACAACCTGAAACATATAAAGGTTATAGAACGATCTCGCAACACTGGTACTTCTACTTTCATTTTTGGAGATCTCCACTCAGATTTCATAACAAAGAGAATTGCCTTTCAACACGTAAATCTTCCTACCAAAATAAGAGGAAATTAACAGTCTCCACTTGATCTGCTATTAGTCAGTGACAAGAGCATCCACCAATTGGATTAAGTGACCATGTAGTCATAACAGATAAATCCCAAATCCAGATTACTCCAGAACCAACAAATTAAATATGTAAGAAGAGATTATGAATTTATTAACACACATCTACAGCAAGAATTCTCCAGCACCACTACTTACTATAAGCGGGCCATGTACAGGGTAGCCCGTTTATTTTGTCCTATCTCTGCATATAGAAATCTAGATATTTTATAACAAAAAGTTAAATAAAAAAGTTGTAGGGTTCAAATCATTAATTTATTTTTTTGTATTTGCGCATATGAGTGAATACATCAGATTTAGGTTTTTTTTTATGGAACACCCTGTATATTTTTATATTTTTTGATAGTGCTTCTAAGGGTGTCCCGATGGACTCTACAAGGATCTCTGTAACCTTAAGAGATACACTGTTAGTTAAATTTGGAAAAAGTTGCGCATTACTAAGCTCAATGGCGTCATGTTTTGATATTTCGAAAATTACAAAGAATTTCGAAGATATCTATAAAAAACCGAATTTTGCCGAAATCATTTTAAATTTTTTCTAACTTTATTTGAAATGATACCGCAAAATAAATGTGATTTTATCGTTGCCATTTTTTCTCCTTTACAAGATCCTACCATCAAATTTAAAATCTGATGTTTCGTCTTTGGGCCACCATCCACCATCATCAACTTCATTTTTTAAATACGACACTTGAATGATGAAGTGACATTTATTTTGCAATATAATTTTAAATAGAGTCAGAAAAAAGTAAAAACGATTTCGGCGAAATTCGGTTTTTAATAGGTATCTTCGGAATCATTCCGAATTTCTGAAATATCAAAACATTACGCCACTGAGCTCAGTAATGCGCAACTTTTTCCAAATTTAACCGACCTTGCTTCTCTTATGGTTCCAGAGATCCCTGTAGAGTCATCCTTATCCCGGACACCCTGTATAAATATATATATTTTGATAGGGTTATTATGTACGGCTTTGGATTTATTTACGGGGAACTGCCAATTTTTAGATTATTGTAGAAACGTTGAAAATAAATATTTTAAAGTTGGACTTTGACCAAATTATATGTTTTTATCATAATCCTATCTGCTTCTGCACTTCTCTAAAGAGGAATAGAAAATCTTTTAAAGGAGGTATCACACGGGGTAGGTTCTCATTTTAGAAAAATTATTAGAAGGGGGTAGCCCCCAAGACAAGAGGAGTGGGGGTTAGTCAATAAACACATTTGCTTTCCCTGATGTGTATTTGAGACTTTTATGACAGAATTCTTTTGTCTAAAATAGTCAAAATTCCTAGAAAACTAATAAGATTTAAGATTTTGCTATAAGACTGTGAAGGGAAAGTATCGAGCTATCCAACGATGTGTAACACCAGATAGGTTCGTATTTAAAAAGAAAATAAGTTGGGGTAGCTACCCCCTAAGGGTTGAGGCAGGGTGACTCAAGGAGTGCCTCATTTTGATTCCCCCTCCAATCCCCCGATAAGTATTTGAACTCTTCTGGATAGTATTTTTTATCAAAGAGATATTCCCGATTGCTACTTTCCAAATTGTCATCCTGTATATTTGAATTTGTCAGGGTGTTTCATTTAAAAAAAAAAAAATCTGTCACACTTTTTTGACACCCTCTATACCGGGTGTTTTTCAAAATACGCTCACCCCCTATAACTTTTTTATTTTCCCAAATAAACAAATGAAATTTGGTGTGTTTATTTATGACCCGTATATGCATGATTTGACGTATTCAATTATTTATTATCACTTTCGGTTTCACCGGAAATGATCGTAACTTTCTTATTTTAAATGAGACGCCAGGTATATTTTCCCCTTTTTTAATAGAAAACTACTACATAAATATGTTTTCGCAGTAACTTATTTTTCGGGTTGTAAGAAATAGCTTTATATCTATATTTAAAGTATAGGTACCTACTCCAAATGTATCTGGTAGTTGGGCTTCAATTATTATTATTCCCTGAAAAACCTCTGGTTTGCTCTTCTCGAAATAGCCGTAACATTTTATTATTTCCTATTTCCCTTATTTTCTTTTGAGAAATTATTTTGGGCATCTTAAATATGAAATAAATTTGACAATGCCGAATTTTGAAAAATGTCAATGGATTTTGCAGGTATGCAAAATAGTAAGGTACCGTTTATTTATTGCACTATTGAAAAATATATTGACAAATGTGTCAAATTTGATTGGCCAGATAGTCCACAGAATTTTAATACTGCGACACTTACGAAATTATGTGTAACACACTTAAAACTGTCTGGAATTTGACATATACTGTCATTATTATACGAGGGCCAACCTGTCAAATTTCCATGGATAATGCTACGCTAATAATATGTGAAAGGGAAATGGTCTCCTGGCCAGCTAGAGGCGTGGATGCCAAGTGTAATTATTTATATCAAGTGGCTTTCTTTATTTTGTAAGGATATTTTATTTTTGCAACAAAAGTCATAATTTTTGTAATACTTTTGCTAGAGCAGAAACCGAGGCAGAAACTATAAATCAAAGGATAACGCACACCTAACATGGGATTTTTGGGCTCTATGGATTTTGCCCATTTTTTGATATGTTGTAGAGGATTTAATTCTGAACAACCTTTAAACGGGACGAAATCTTGTAGGTATTACGGTCTTTGAGATATGAGCGTTGAAAGATGAACTTTTTTGCAACTTTTTGTGTGGAGAGTATACGAGGTACTGATGCTACTGGTGTCTATCAGTCAAAATATTGACAGGTTCACGTATTTTACGTCACTTAAAAATTAATGGCAACTTAGGTTAAAGCCGGGACCGCACTGGGATTAATATTGGCGCCAGTGCGGTCCTGGCCTTAGCCTACATTTGTTAGTGACGTGAAATATGTCGACCTGTCAAAATTTTGACTGATAAACACCAGTTTTTCGTATACTCTCCACACAAAAAGTTGTAAAAAAGTTCATCTTTTAACGCTCATATCTCAAAGACCGTAATTCCTACAAGATTTCGTCCCATTTAAAGGTTGTTCAGAATTAAATCCTCTACAACATATCAAAAAATGGGCAAAATCCATAGAGCCCAAAAATCCCATGTTAGGTGTGCGTTATCCTTTGAAGAAAAAAACATAAACCCCCAGAAAGCCCGAAAAAACCCAAAAAACTCAAAGACCGTAATACCTACAAGATTTCGTCCCGTTTAAAGGTTGTTCAGAATTAAATCCTCTACAACATATCAAAAAATGGGCAAAATCCATAGAGCCCAAAAATCCCATGTTAGGTGTGCGTTATCCTTTGAAGAAAAAAACATAAACCCCTAGAAAGCCCGAAAAAACCCAAAAAAAAAACCAAAAAACCCATAAGAACCCAAAAAAACCCGACGAGTTGGACTTTTTCAAAAAACCCGGGTTTTTTCCAACCCTAATTTCAACCTCAATTTCGGAAAAAGTAACTTTTATTTAGGAAAATGTAATAGTATATTACATACCGAGTAGGGAAATGTTTCATTACTGTCAAGAGATTGACTATTAATCTCCAGACAAAAATGAAAACTTTCCTCTGAGGTTTGTATAATATTTTATTTGTAACCACACCATTAATTATGATTAGTCATTTAATTTTTTTAATATTAAAAAAATTAAACAAACATGCCAAAATGTGTCATTGACTGCTTTGACGTTTTTATCTGACATGTTCTCATTGTTGCCAGCAAAGGTGAATAAATTAGAGTGAGGGAAATCGGTGAGGGAAGTCGAATAGGGAAATCGAAGAGGGAAGTGACACAGGTAAAGTGTCACTTTCAAATTTTTAAAAAGTCAGTAATGACAAGATTACATATATGATTGCAAATAAAGACATTTTCGGAAAAAGTCAAATTAATTTCAGAAAAAGTAAAGATAATTTCGGAAAAAGTAAATTCAATTTCAGGAATAGTAAATTCAAATTCGGAAAAAGTAAATTCAAATTCGGAAATTACGGAGAAAGTAATTGTGCGATGCTCGATTTCTATTAGAATAAAAACGCTTTTGTTTTTTGTTTTTTGTAATTTTTGCAAGTACAAATGATTAATGATTAAACGATTAAAAAACGATTATTTTTTATTGATTTTGATTGACAATAATAATGAAGCAGTGATGGTAACGACTGGGCTGGGACTCTATAGCAGAGTTGCCACACAATACAGAACATACCGGCGGCCCTTGAATACTAAAGTACTTCAAGCTAAACAGTTAACTTTCACAACACTCACTGGCTTCGATAGGAAGAAGGCATAATTTCTGGATAG